AAGGGACTTATAATTAAATAATAATATAAATTGGAACTGAACATTCCTAATTCAAAAAATTGACTGTTTCTCCAGTTCCGCTGATGGAACAGGTATATTATCAATCTCTCTCTCTCTCTCTCTCTCAATCTATATATATATATATATATATATATATATATATATATATATGGAGAGAGAGAGAGAGAGAGATAATATACCTGTCCCATCAGCGGAACTGAGGAAATAGTCAATATATATGAAATCAGTGGTTTTGTTACCTACCCCATGTGTTAAACTAGAATCTATTTGAAATGACAAAGGTTGCTCATCCTTTGCATTTGAATCCTTATTATTTCTGAAAATTTGGATTGAGTCAGAGAAAGTTTGCATTCCTAGGAATTTATGTAAAGGCTCAACCACTTCGTATTACCACGAAGGCCCGTTATGACATAGTAACTTGATCACGAACAGCATTTGCGTTAAAATGCTCTCAGTTGTAACTGGTATTCATCCCTTATTCAGTTATCAACTACTTTATTCAGTGTTCATGGGACCATCTGAGAGAGATGTAGTTTGGTAGACTAGTAGTGGTTTCGAACTACTGGCCTCTGGACTACTATACCGGTATTCTACCAGCTAGGCTACAAGACTAACTAAGACGTGACTGAACCTTAGTCCATGCAATATTCTAGTCAATTTTCACACGCATTTTGGTCCTTTCACACATCTGCTTCACACCGTTCCAAATCTTCATGTTGATTAGCCCTATTTGTTGTCTTAGTTTTAAATACATATGCGTATAGTTCGCTGTACAACTTACATATATGGTCAGGTTTGTAGAGGAGTTCTATCTGAATTTTATTGATTCCTTGGGTCTTGCTTACGACACTTTTATCTCTTACTTCAAATGTTCAGGAAACGTGTGATAATGCAGAATAGTCAGAGTAGACAGCATGTGTTGAGATGGAACTGGTTTATATCCTTTCCTAGATAACTGAGGGAGATAACACTGGCTACATACTTCATAACAAAAGGTGGCCAATTAGTTTGGCAAGACAAATTATCCCATCGTGTCACATGCATTGATAATATCATAGAGCGGTCGGTTGGCTCTGGAACAAATGATTTTACATGACAAATAGAAACAAATGTTATCCAATTTTTTCAGTTGCAAATCATCTGACGTTTCACTTGTTGTAGAAGCTAAGACCAGATTTGAGAGAATTTTCCCGTGGAAAAAATTTCATACGACATTTTACTCGACAAAAAAACACTATGAGCGTATACAGTCTACTTTTCACAGTTATCTGAATTCCATTCAAAATGATTTGATTGTACAACGTTCCTAGAATAGTAGAAATCATTATGAAATCGAAATGAATATAATTTTACTGAACTGTGGGATATTAACTGCTGCAACGATGTCTGGTTAACTGTACGCTAGACTAGGCTAATAGTCAGAAATTCAGCTCACAACTTAGTACAACACTATACTTAAATAGTAAGTATCAAGCTCTAAATAAATGAGTATTGAAAGATCGGACTCCTGATCGACCAATACATCCATATCTTCTAATAATATCAAGACTTCAGAACTTAATAAAGTAAAACATCCTCTTGTATATTCAAGTGTATACAAGGCAAGATAATTACAATACGATCTTTCGATAAACGTCAATGAAGAGTAGACAATCAATAAATCTTTACCAATAGATTTAAAGCTTTAGAGTTGTTCGATCTCAAATGAATATTTCATGTTCTATGCAACTGTTGACGAAAACAGATTTTACTTGACTAAGTAAGATTTAGTTCATTTATCTATACCTTCAGTAATATCTCAAAACAGAAGCAGAGAATATTGCAGCTCCGTATGTATTAAATTATCCTATAGCTGCTTACAGTTTACATTCAATTCAACCAAGTAACTTATCTACATACATTACCCGATACGTTTATGCTTTCGTCCATCGATTAAACAGTTTACATAGAACAGAGTAACGAACCACTTAAAATTATAAATAAATGGTTAGTAAAGAAAAAACTAAACTAAGTCGCATATGTGAATATAGTATGAACAATTTACTTTGTAAAAATACAAATCGTTCAATATGGGAAGTGAATTAATCGGAAAGAAAAATCTTTTTATATTTATATATATGTAGTTCGAAATCATAAAATCGTTTGTTGATTATTATCTATAAATTTAAGAAAAGTTTGACATCAGTGATAGATAGTGGCTGGCAGTGGAATCGAAGAGGCGCGTTTCGTCGTATTTGGAACTCGTCAGGAGGTCATGTATCAATGGTGGCCGATCCATTCGGTTTAATCAACAGTGGAGGTTTACAAGCTATAACATCAAAGTTCAGAAAAGTTTGTCTATAAAATTGCATATTTATTCTGGTTACAGATATCGTTGTTATCACAAGTCAGATGGACAGATGATTCTGCACTGGTATTGTAGATCCTCCTATGACAATTACGGTAACTTCGATACATGAACGCTACCTGCTTGGTTCCAAATGATCAGAAGAAGAGTTTAGTAACCTCCATATTTGTTTGACTCTTCAAAACAATTTTTTTCTCTCTGGTCTAACAACTACATTTTCCATTAGTCAGAAAAATACTGCATAACGTTCCCCAGGTAGTCACTAAAAGCAAGTCATATTTAAGAGTCATTCAGGTTGTATTTTGTGTGCATGTTAGTTCTCTTTAGTAACAGGATCATAACTAAGAGACTCTCCTTATAAATATTATTCTCTTTCTGTTGGTATAGTACTTAAGGCTTTAAAAATTGAAAACTCTGAAGGCATATGGATATGAATTAATTCTACCTGTTGTGCTTGATTAGTACTGATGGTTCAAAATGCATCCATACTCGTTAAAAAAAAACAGAAGAACTGAAGTCGAATCTTATTCGATTAGAAGACTAATCGTCCGACAGAGCAGGCAACGAATGGGACTGCTTACTGCAATAAGTGGCACCCGATCTTGTGATGAACACATTCAGAGTAAAACTGGATCTTCATAGAGATAATGACCAGAAGGATTGAGGCAGGCTAACAACCTACTGTGCTTATCACTAAAGACTGAAGACTTCCTTCTCATTTCATGTCCAAGATGGGACAAATTTCCTTTCATATATTATTGATAAGTTGTGCTTAACACTGTATTGCTCAAGATTACAAAGATCTGCTTTACTACATAGTCTAAACATTTCAGCCAACAGTTCTTATAGATTTATTACTCTTAGTGACTCTCAGTGGAATTAAGCATACATATTTCGTACTATTTAGGGATCTCTAGCTGGATGTACATGCACCCCAGTGACTGATTTTGTTCCCTCTGAGACTCAAAACAGTACTCATTCCTTCAAACGCCCCACTATGAGTTAGCAAGATGATAAGAACATTATGAGTACTCGGCAACATCCTCGCTAATAGCACAACGAACGTCAAGCAATTCCACCATTCGTAAAAAAATTTCTTCATTGCTGAAACGAGATTGTTAAACAAGGAAAAGTAACCTTATTAAAAGCACAGTTAGATAGTTAGATAGTTAGTTAGTTAGTTAGATAGTTAGTTAGTTAGTTAGTTAGTTAGTTAGTTAGTTAGTTAGTTAGTTAGTTAGTTAGTTAGTTAGTTAGTTAGTTAGTTAGTTAGTTAGTTAGTTAGTTAGTTAGTTAGTTAGTTAGTTAGTTAGTTAGTTAGTTAGTTAGTTAGTTAGTTAGTTAGTTAGTTAGTTAGTTAGTTAGTTAGTTAGTTAGTTAGTTAGTTAGTTAGTTAGTTAGTTAGTTAGTTAGTTAGTTAGTTAGTTAGTTAGTTAGTTAGTTAGTTAGTTAGTTAGTTAGTTAGTTAGTTAGTTAGTTAGTTAGTTAGTTAGTTAGTTAGTTAGTTAGTTAGTTAGTTAGTTAGTTAGTTAGTTAGTTAGTTAGTTAGTTAGTTAGTTAGTTAGTTAGTTAGTTAGTTAGTTAGTTAGTTAGTTAGTTAGTTAGTTAGTTAGTTAGTTAGTTAGTTAGTTAGTTAGTTAGTTAGTTAGTTAGTTAGTTAGTTAGTTAGTTAGTTAGTTAGTTAGTTAGTTAGTTAGTTAGTTAGTTAGTTAGTTAGTTAGTTAGTTAGTTAGTTAGTTAGTTAGTTAGTTAGTTAGTTAGTTAGTTAGTTAGTTAGTTAGTTAGTTAGTTAGTTAGTTAGTTAGTTAGTTAGTTAGTTAGTTAGTTAGTTAGTTAGTTAGTTAGTTAGTTAGTTAGTTAGTTAGTTAGTTAGTTAGTTAGTTAGTTAGTTAGTTAGTTAGTTAGTTAGTTAGTTAGTTAGTTAGTTAGTTAGTTAGTTAGTTAGTTAGTTAGTTAGTTAGTTAGTTAGTTAGTTAGTTAGTTAGTTAGTTAGTTAGTTAGTTAGTTAGTTAGTTAGTTAGTTAGTTAGTTAGTTAGTTAGTTAGTTAGTTAGTTAGTTAGTTAGTTAGTTAGTTAGTTAGTTAGTTAGTTAGTTAGTTAGTTAGTTAGTTAGTTAGTTAGTTAGTTAGTTAGTTAGTTAGTTAGTTAGTTAGTTAGTTAGTAAGTTAGTTAGTTAGTTAATTAGTTAGTTATTCTCGTTAAATGAACGAAAGTAGGATTTCCTGTATATTTGAATTCGCCGTAATTTGTCTCTAACAATTCCGAGCTTTTGGTGGTCCTGTAAAGAGGTTGTGTCTGATTGAGCTCAAACACTGAAATGGAAACTAGGATGGCAGATGATTAGTAAGGAAGTAAAGATTAAAGGTTAACTTCAAGAATTTATTTTCAGCAATTGATTTACAAGTATTTATTGAAGCGTATTCATGTTCTGGATTGTAAGGCAAAGTGCTTAATAGCATTGTCACTATGCTGCTTCGATAAAAAGCAAGTACAGATATCAAATTTTCAGACATTCTTCAATTTATAATTTATTGGTAGTGAATTGCTCATCGACGCACCATTTAGCAAAATATCTATTGAAATTTGAAATATAATTTTGCGTTCACTCCCCTGATATCAATTCATTCTCTTATCAGTTAGTAGTAGTAGTAGTAGTAGTAGTAGTAGTAGTAGTAGTAGTAGTAGTAGTAGTAGTAGTAGTAGTAGTAGTAGTAGTAGTAGTAGTAGTAGTAGTAGTAGTAGTAGTAGTAGTAGTAGTAGTAGTAGTAGTAGTAGTAGTAGTAGTAGTAGTAGTAGTAGTAGTAGTAGTAGTAGTAGTAGTAGTAGTAGTAGTAGTAGTAGTAGTAGTAGTAGTAGTAGTAGTAGTAGTAGTAGTAGTAGTAGTAGTAGTAGTAGTAGTAGTAGTAGTAGTAGTAGTAGTAGTAGTAGTAGTAGTAGTAGTAGTAGTAGTAGTAGTAGTAGTAGTAGTAGTAGTAGTAGTAGTAGTAGTAGTAGTAGTAGTAGTAGTAGTAGTAGTAGTAGTAGTAGTAGTAGTAGTAGTAGTAGTAGTAGTAGTAGTAGTAGTAGTAGTAGTAGTAGTAGTAGTAGTAGTAGTAGTAGTAGTAGTAGTAGTAGTAGTAGTAGTAGTAGTAGTAGTAGTAGTAGTAGTAGTAGTAGTAGTAGTAGTAGTAGTAGTAGTAGTAGTAGTAGTAGTAGTAGTAGTAGTAGTAGTAGTAGTAGTAGTAGTAGTAGTAGTAGTAGTAGTAGTAGTAGTAGTAGTAGTAGTAGTAGTAGTAGTAGTAGTAGTAGTAGTAGTAGTAGTAGTAGTAGTAGTAGTAGTAGTAGTAGTAGTAGTAGTAGTAGTAGTAGTAGTAGTAGTAGTAGTAGTAGTAGTAGTAGTAGTAGTAGTAGTAGTAGTAGTAGTAGTAGTAGTAGTATCACTTTACGCTCACCATTTTACTCAACTTTCTCATGATAATTATTTTGGTGACTTGTAATCTTCGGTTAATAGTGATTTCGTAACTTGAAATAATAATTAATTTTACTTATTTTATAAAAGAGAGGGCATGCATATATAAATATATATAATTTTGCTGAATTGAATAACACTATTCATTATTCATCAATTTATTGTCTGACTTCGGGACCATTTCCTGCGATGATTACATTTTCTTACCACTTACATATGTAGTGACTTCGATGATTTTCAGGTGAAGTTTTAACTGTTAAACCAGACAACTATCATCTTAAATCACTACTAGACAACCAACGGACAAAATGAAGGAATGCACATATACACACTGAAAACACTCATTTCTTAAGCACAAAGTTGTACACGTGTCCCGTAACTTACGCAAACAAACAAAATAAATAAATGTATAGTAATTAAAGATGTTATGGATAATGTGACACGTGTTTCAAATACACTGTATGAATAGATTTAATCAGTCTGTGTATTTCTATGTATGTGCATGCATATTTTTAATACTGTACGAAGGAATATATCTCATATGAGTCCAGTTAGTATTTTTAAGGATGGGTTGGTTTCAAAGTAGCATTTGTCACGGAATGACTGCCGAACGGCTGAAAACCAAGTATCACAGGACAACTGTCTCGTCCTAATATGAAATTGCTCAGAAGAGCGTACTTACGACTTCATATAGAATTGAATCTATGACTGTCAGACCTCGTGATATGCAGGTTGCCCTCAGTTAGTGGGTCGGAATCCAATAGCATGACGTAGCGTGACCATCATCGAGTGTCATATGTGATATATTTGTTTCTTCAAACTACACTCCACCAACTACACCGGTCGTTTCTTTCCTCTATCCAACTGGAAGCAAGTTTGTAATGAGCAGTGGATAGCAATTTAATCGGTGGTTTCTATGACTCAGTTCACCTTCAAAGCAGTTTTCGTCATATGGATACTTTTCCGAGTCATTCAAAAATTCGTTGCTGCTTTTATCACTAACTGAAACCAACTGGCCAATCACTCCAAGACACCGAATGACATTTTTACTCCCATCTTGAGACGCATAACAAATGTACATGCAGAACTCATGATAAGACCAAACCTAGAACCTCCAGCTCCTTCGACAGGCACCTTATCATTCAGTCACTAAGTCAGGATCTAATGATACATGTTTGCCAAACTGGAATACTTTGACCAACCTTCAGTTTGTCGACTGACATCCATCTTCACTCCCACCTTGGTTCACTAGCACAATCTAAAGCTTCTCATGAGAACTTTGGAAATTCGTAGCGAAACAAGTCACAAATCAACATTTTAATATTACTCCACACAATAAGTGTTTACTGAACTATTTTATGTTACATATCAGTATAATATGAAAAGCCACTTGTAAATTCCCATTTATTTACTCCAGTATTTTGACAAAAAGTAGCTTAATATTTTTCAGAATGAGTTCAGTGCGTCTGACATTTCGAAAAAAATAATGAGCTATGAATTCCATTGTATTTCATACAGTGAAAGAATATTGTTCACCGATGACGTTTTAACACTAAGCAGTTGCTTCTGGGAGGTCATTGCTATTAGTACACACTAACAGGACGTTAAATAAATTGAATAATGGAACCAATATGAATAGAGTTGAAATACTTCTCATACGACTTAAGTACTCAGAGTTTACCACATAAACTGGTGAAAAAAGTTGAGATTAGAAGATGAAGAATTTGTCTACTAATTTACTCTCATTGTTAAACACGTAATCAGTTGAAATAATTCCATGGGAATTTATCTTAATTACAGTTTACCAAATCTAGAAGTGAAAAACTAGTCGATGTTAACGTAAAAATGTAGTTCTTATTTTTTATTTTTTCACTAACATATATTCCAACCTGAACAGGTATGAAATGAGGTGAGATTCTGTCCAAGTCTTTCTTAATCGTAACTATTGAGAGAGAAGCCATTGATTCTCTACCCAATGCATATAGTGTACTAGTCGCCAGTAAATAATTTCATTTATAAATTGACTGGTCACTGGAAAGTAGCCAATTTCATGTTGCCTGGTCTTGAGGGTTGACCGAATTCTATCGATCAGTGTATCGTATCCAGTCGTGCGATCGCGTCCGGAATAGCTCAATGGTAGCCTCTTTGATAATAGCACTGGATGATACGGGCTCGAACCTTACATGGGGAGATCAGTTTCCTTAAGGTTTCAGTTACGCCTCGGTGAAAAGTGTCAACAAGCATGCAACCTACCCTCATAGCTTCCTTGTCGACTACTTCAAAATATCGAACACTTAGTAATTCTGTGCTGATAAACAAACTTGTTTTGGTAATTTAAGTAGTTTCGTTCCGTCTAGTGGTTTTCTAAGAGTTTATTGTTCTGTGGTCTTCATTATGAAATTATGGGAACTCAAGCACTTGATAAACTGTTTAACTCCAAGCAGCTACTTTACATTGATTTGAAACTTCTTAGTAGTGTGGGACCAGTATTCAACATGCATTTGAACACAGAACTTATAAGGCCTTGTTGATATCATATTCAGGTAGTTCTGTTAAGAAATAATGACCGGCTGAATCAAATAGGTTGTATGTTAGAATGGATACTCTTCTGTGGAATTCAGTGGTGGTCAAATTGACTGTGAATTAGTAGGAATTGGTCAATGTGGACCTCGATACTCTGAGCATTTATTTCATATGATAGTTTGAGACCTGAAGGCCATGAGATATATCGCTTAAGAGACAGTAAAACGAAGAAACGCTCTAGTAATTCCAGGTTTTCCATATAACTTTTTAACTGCAAGCGTGAACTATTGAATAGCTTAGTGGTGACGTCTCTTACTTCGTGAGTGAGTAACGTAAGTTCGAATCACGAAGGAAGTAATAGTTTCATCATGGTTACATATACGCCCTACTGATGAGTGTTAGTAAGGACGAAACGTAGGTCTAGCTTCCTGCAGGTTGAATTTCAACATGCAACACCAAGATTAGTGTATTTGGTGGAATAACATGATAGAATAGGCAACTGAAGTATATTTTATTTTATTCCTGCAAATCAGACTGGAATTTATCACTGTATATTCTTGTTAAGTATTTTTTGGTCTTCAGATGAAGTCTGTGGTTTGAATTAACTCCGTTGTTTGACAGTGACAAGTTTTCCCAGGGAATAAATTTCTTTTGAGGAAATTCTAATCAACACATCTGTAATGGTCTCGAACCACACAGTATTTCACACAGTTGATTGGTTCCATTATCATCGAATATCTGATGGGAAGTGATATGAAACTGAAGCAGTGTAATGGAATTTTCCGAGTGTTGTAGAAAACTAAATAGTCAGTTACAAAAGAGTGAAGGTTGAGGAGCTTATTAATTGTCAACATTGGTCTCACAATCACAACTGGTTCAGCATTCACAGTCACCTACAAAGTGGAAAGAAATTCACTGAAAATGGTGGGTTTCCGCCTTCGCTGTACACTGAGGATACTCTTGTCATAAGCGTGAAGAGACATGAATTGTGTGTACAAAAGAAACTTGTTCACTCTTCTTTGTTACCTTGGGCTTAGTAAACAGTTAAATCTCTCTCTCTCTCTCTCTCTAAATATTCACAATTTTGTCATACTTTATTGCATGCATAGTCTTCATTTCGCTTCTATACTACCCATCCATGATCACCTTTTAACTTGGAAATTACTTTCACATATTATGCAACTTTATACTATATCCTGTTAATTATTGTCCACCTCTATATTCTCTTGTGACTAATCATCACTTTACAACACACTTACGATGGTTGATTCCCATTCAAACTGATCTCTGTTTCTACCTTTAGTTAAATAATCCTTTTTACTAAAATAAGGGAACAAAATACGTATAAAATTGCAAATGTTCAGCCGTACAGAAGGAAATCACCAGAAAAGATAACTTACTGAACTTCTCGTTTTCTCTAAATTCTAATTGTTCAATCTTGTATTTACATTACATCTTTTGGCCATTGGAGAGTAACAAATTTCCTACTGGTTAACTCTAAGTGAGTGATGACCGAATTCTGTTGATCATTTTGCAGTCTGATCATCAATCATACCGCAACCTCGAGAAAATTGATGTCACCTCAGAGATTCAGACCTGCGTCACTCAACCTCAACAGTCACAGATGCTAACAGTGAACCATCTTCCTGTAGAATAATTAGGCTTAGGTTCACTACTATTTATTGACATATTTGTTATTCTCCGTTGTTTTGTTGGATTGAATTGTTCGACCTCTGTTGGTATATGGGCTCCTATGCGGATGCCTCAATATTGCCTGAATGTCAATTACGATAATTTGGTTGGTAGCGATGAGTAAGAGGTTCGAGTCTCAGTGGGAATAACATCACTGACTGGGGTGCAGTTACATCCCACTGACGAGTCCCAAATAGGACGAAACGCGCGTACCGGATTCTTCTCTTAGGTTCGCTGCCTGTAATCCTTCATTATGCATAAGCTAACAAAAACAATATTGAAGTGTTGTTTGTTTTTTATCACACTTTTCTTTCTGTATGGCTCATAATCTTTCTGTAAACAAAGACAAGGTGCTTGTTTACAGTTTTTTCGATTCGATCGAAGGATATGATATGGGATTATAAATTGGATGTATGAATTCTACCTTATTTGTTTCCTCTTGTCTACACTACTAAATTTGTTTTTGTTTTTCTGTCACTCTTCAAAAGACAGGGGTTTCATGATACAAAGAACTTTTCCACCAATAAATGTTTATCTTGAACATGTGCTTGGCTGTTATACGAAGTTCTTTGGTGAGGAAAGTGGACTGGTTAAGTGGGTAGGTTAGACATTACATGGAGTAAATAATGAATTAGATGAATTTTTAAAATGGTCTCTTTGACTAGATAGGCAGACAGATGAATCTTACCTTGGAGCATATACTGTCTTGCCTCTATCACCTAGTGATATAGAGCGAAAAATGTCCTCTTCGGTGCTTGTGTGCGTGGTGGTGGTGGTGGTGGTGGGGGGGGGGAGACGAAACCATTGTTAAATTTGAGTGGAAAATCTTCATTTTTGTTTACTGTTAAATTCATAACCTGGTTACTAAAGGGCAAATCAGGGGAAGTCAATATTATGTCTGCCCTGATGAACATCTGAATGCTAAATAATCTTGAAACAAAACTGTCATCTATCGGCTTATTTATCATACAGTCACTCAAAGTTAGCCTAGTAATTTATTTAATATTATTATAGATGTTAGTTGAATAAAAATAATTATTACGTTAGTAAATAATAGGTCTATTGGATCAATCAAACTAATTTGAGGTCATCCTAACAGCGAACTTGATAAGTGTACTGTGAGTACTCTA